TGTGCGGACCCTGTAGTTTTTACAGTGCAGAATAAAAAAATAGGCAGATTCAGTACATTACAAACTAAATACTGCCATTGTGTAATTTATTCATAGTTATGTGATTCTTAAAAACTACTTTACAGTTTACTGTAACCTGATTTTAAAATTGAATATAATCTAATTACAACAAGTAGTCAATATTTGGAATTTGGAACTGTGCAACATCGTCGCTTGGAATACACACTACTTAAGCCACTAAAATGGGGTATACTGTATGCACAGCTATTTTTTATTTTATTTTTTTGTCAATGATAAACTTCCAGTGAAAGCTTAATATGACTAATTTCAATTTCATAAGGTTCCTTTTACAGCCTCAGTGTTGTAATATAATTACAGAACATTCAGTTAAATAGACTTAAGCATTCATTTATTTATTTAAACGTAAAACAAGAAGAAAGACTGTGTAACTAACCGCAAGCACTGTCAGAATTGTTACAATATGTTATGTATATAGACAGCAGGATGGGAGGATGTGACAGACCATGTATGGTTTGTAGTGTATGACGTCATTGCTATGCGCATGCATGTGAAGTAAAGGAAACACAGTGAAAACCTGCGTGTCTGAGATTCATTGATATATAGAGTGATCAGGCGGGTGCAAAAACTCTATTAAAATTACTGGGTTAAAATTAACTGTTACAATTTAAAGAAATGGCAGAGGAAAATGGAATTTAATGCAGTGCTTCTTTTCCGGTCTGAGACCCACTTTACTTTACATATATCTATCAGGCAGTATAGTTTAGTGGTTGTCAAAGTGGAGGTCGGGACCCCTCAAGGGGTCGTAAACAATGAAGGGAGGTCACCTGGGGCCTCATGTACGAAGACTTGCGTGTAAATCTTACTAAAACATTGCGTACGCACAAAGCTGTAAATGTGCGTACGCAGAAAAAAATTCAGATGTATGAAACACTGCGTACGCCGAATCTCACGCATATTCTTTTGTACATCTGAATGAACGTGAAACTGAGCGCAACATGCACGAGCACAAAACCCCTCCCTGCCTCCTCCCCCGTATGAATATGCTAATGACTATGCTAATGGCAAAACCCAACGAAAAAGCAATGGCAAAAGCAAGCAAAAAGAGAAACTTTGAACAGAATGTGAATTGGAGGTGCTGCTTTCGGAGGTAGACCGGAGAAAAGCGGTGTTATTTGCAAGTTTGTTCTCCGGAATTAACAACAAAAGAAAAAAATAGAGTGGGAGAGTTTAGCTGATGCGGTCAACACAGTCGGGTCTGAACATATCGCACTGAGTGCATTAAAAAAAAAAGAAATAGTGTGGTTTATATCTGTAAACTGTTGAAGTACGCTAAACAGTCTCAGTGGCGCGCTCGTAAGACGCTTGTGTTCATGAATTAATACGTTCGAGCATGAACTCGGCTCGAATCCAGCGTCTGATTAACTCTTTCTTGGTTTTTCCCCCGCTACATATCAGATTTTGCCAACTATTTATCACGAGAAAGACAAGTAGGAATCATCAATAAGTTCATATCAATAAGCATCATATTTTATTTGCACATTTATTGAATGGAAATGTTTCAGATTCACACATGCAAATTCATCTTCAGTTCAGATAGTGTCTTTATAGCAATGTGCGTGCGGTAGATCGCTCAGATTACATTGGGAAAACAGGCGACTGCTGCAAATTGTGCTTAAATGTTTAGCTGGTCAAATGTATGGTATGGAAACCTTATATACCTGCTGAACCCGTCTCATACAGCTGCCATTGCAAGGCTCAGACACTTTGTAGAGAGGAATTTAACACAACTGCCTCTAGGAGTCGCCAATGGAAATAAAACAGACACGCACAAAAAATGTGCGTACGCCTGCCAGAAAGCTGCCGTGAACCTGCGCACATTCCAACGTTCAGTTCATTGTTAGTAAATCCAAACGTGAGCGATTCTGAGCGTGAAACCTGGCGTACGCAAAGTTTTTGTGCGTACGCAGCGTTGATACATGAGGCCCCTGGTGATTTCCAAAAATCTACTTGTTTTTATCAAACCATAAGAATTACCATATTTTATCCATAACCTACTGAAGAGAAAAAATAGTCGTTTATAGTTACTATATACTATATAGTTACTATAGTAGCTTATAGTTACTAGTCCTATTGGATTGCGACTCCTGAGGTACTTACATTACATTCAAGACATAGCAATAGCATCAGATGCAGATTGATTTTATAACACCAGTTTAAACTTTCTGGCCCATTTACAGCTCTCGCATACATAAAAAAATAAATAAACGAAGGATAAACTTGGGTCTATTGGTGTGTGTGTTCCATTGGATACAGTTTCTGTATTTATAACCACCTCAGAGGATATTGGGGGTCGCGAGTCACTGGCATTGATATTTTGGGGGTCGCGGGCTGAAAAGTTTGGGAACCCCTGGTGTAGACCACTGATTTTTAAAGTAATCAGACCTTAAACTTGGCAGTTTTATAGTGGAAAAACAGTTCACCGGAAGCACTGAGGCTGGCTGGCTGAAATTAAAAGTCCTTGTGCATAGACCCCATTCAGAATAATGTGACAAATATGCATTCCTGGAAGAAACAGAAGAGTAATTCTTACTTATAATACAGATTACATCCTTTTGAAGTGACTTTGTAACTTGTAATAATTCTGTAATATGAAACAATACAGAAAGCTGAAAATGTTGAAGCACAATATAAATCCTTTATAACAAAACAACTACCTCATTTATTAAAATTAAGATTGGAGACGTTAGATGTGCCAGTGCGACCGCTTATTCACACAGGTGTGACACACAGGTGAAGCATTAAAGAAATAACGCAGTCTGAGAACACACAACTGCCATAAGAATAATTGCTCAGAGTTATAAAGTAACAGCAGAACATCTGTTGAGTTCATTAAAATGCATTATGGCTATGAGCTCCACCGAGGCTTTCAAATTAAGAGTCCTAATTAAATTGGTAAGAGGGAGAGATGAGAAATGAATGACAGCTCTGGGTCTTACATTTAGGATTAATGACTCTGTTTATTGAGTCTGTTATTGGTTGAGCTGGCTGTCAGTCAGCCAGGTCCTGCCTTCTGCTACTTTAAGAGCCAATGAGGTGTGCTGAGGAAAAGCTTGGAGGCGGGAAAGTGTGCTTTAGCCCTGTAAGCATTAATTCTGCATTTAATGGCAGTGGAAATGGAACAGTAACCAGCAGGCCTCAGTGAACTTGTCACAGGATATTGTGGCAATGAGCCAGGATACATATTGTGTTCTCTTGCTGTCTCTTTCCATCTGCCTTCTTATATCATCTGTACTGTCTGCTTAATGTCTTTATGTTCTTATTATCCTTCAGTACATTCTGGCTTTCTGCTGTACAGCTGCTCAACAACTTTTGCTCTGTAGCATTTTTATGACTTTATGACACTAAAGCAACTATCTTATCGTTTTTAATTTGATTTAATTTAATTTAATTTAATTTAATTGGTTAAAATCGAAAAAGTATTTGGCATTCAACTAAATTAAATTACTTTAAAAATGCATTCAGAATAAATTCTTACTGCATTCAGAAATGACGCTATTTAGAATGTGTTCTCAAAAAAGAAGTCTTTTTTGGTTAAATGATGTATTATTTTTTTCTAGTTTATTGACTGTTTTGATCCTGTTTTTTTTTTTTTTCACAAACTTACTAATTTATACATTATGTTGAACTAAATGCAAAATTTAGTTTTTGTTTCAAAAATGTATCTTATTACAGTTATAAAACTTAAAAAATATGGATTTCATTTATTTATTTTTTTGGCTAAATCTTGACAACCAGTGGTTGAACTAGGTATTGCACATTTGGTTCAAAACACAAGCAAGTTGGCGCCAGTGATGTAATGGTCAGTGCATCAACACATGAACTCTGGTGCTCACGGTGACCCGAGTCCAATTCCCACCTCGTGGTTGAAAGGTTGCATTTTGGCCATGGACACATACTTTGATCCTTCCCCTCTCTCTATGCATTCCTGTCAATACTTTTTTACTTATCCTATCCATTAAAGGAGAAAACCCTGAAAAATAATTCAAATACAAAAAAATAACAAAAGCAAGTGCAGGTTGCCAGATTGATGATGACAACAACCTGACTATCAAGCCTAAAAGCTGATTTAGGTTGTGTTCTAATTAAAAGCAGCAACACACAATAGAAAGAATATTTTCCATATTAAAATACGTTTTTGTTCTAACCAACACCTGAAATGTATATATTACAAACAGCTTCTATTTCATGCAGCTGAACAATAGAAGAAACTGACAATGATCACCTCAGGTACATCTCATGTGTTTTATTCAGTGTTAAATGCTAATAATGTGAGTTTGGATGCCATTTAACAATTATTGCCATACTACTGAGAGCAGCAGCAGATGGTTTACCTCTTAAAAATAAACCGTTTGAGACTGAACTTTAGATCTGTAACAACTGTGAACTTATACAAGCCACAACATATCAGTGATTCAGTTTGTATATTTAATACTGCTAAAAAATTTTAAACCTTACCATTTTTTGGGAGTGCAGTAAGTGCACTATTCTGTGCTTTTGATTATTTAAATTTCTGCCTAATTGCTTATCACTGTGTATCTTGTCACGTAGAGTGTCGTTAGGATTCAGGGTTACATACTCACCTAATGTTTATGTTCGAAATATTTATATTATTTTGTAAATTAATAACACCCTCATGTGGAACTCTGAATCTGCGTCTCATTTCGGAGTCTGCTACTGTCCACCGGAGGTTGCATCTTGGCCACGTGGGTGGGTTAAATGAAACAAATACAGATGTTCGGCATGTAAAAAAGACATTTCCAAAGCAGAATATCTAATTTCAGCATTGTTTTTCAAATAAACATGAATGTTCACTTGGCATGTTTCTTAAATATCTGCAAACATATTATGTTTTTTAATGCTTTGGAAGATTCAAAAACGTACATACAGCACCTTTAATCTACTTTTCTCTTTCCTAACAGGTCACACGATAGCAACAACATGGCAGTTCTACCATGAGGCCCAAGACTCCTTAACGACCCACTGGAAAAGAAAACTTTCTTGTTTAAGACACTGACATTCTGAAGAACTCAGTACATGTACAGTACATGCAAGAGATTGGACAAACTGATTGTAGACTATAGACAGCATTTTGATTTGACAGAAGACATACAAGGATCTCTGTATAAACCTGAAGACTGTATCCATAAGCTCAAAGTGACTTCCTGGATTTCCACTGGTTTGTGAGTGCATGTATGAGAGATTAGAGGACGTTGGACTTGAAGGACAAACCCTGGACTGTCAGATTCGGCTGGAGGTTTGTGTGACTGTCTGTAAGAGACTGTAGTTTAACTATGTTTATCGGCTTTCCAGCACACAGCAAACTTTATATTCACGAGTAGGGAGGGAATTTTGCTCTGAATGTGTGATTCACAAGTTATTGTCAATTTGCTCCTCTGGGTCAAGTCATTACCCTGAAAATGTTTCCTTTAAGTCATTTTGCACTTCTAATTAGGGTTGCTGAATAGGATCATAACAACAAATTAAAAATTCATGAGCCTTTTTTTGCACTAGATAAGATCATATGGAGATGTGTTGCGTTTTCTAGTCTTTTACTGTCTGTGTGAGATGGAATTCAGAAGACAAAACATTTATAAAGCTTCCTTCCACAATTGCAAAGTAGAAATGCAAGTGATGTAGTCATCAGTAAAACAATGATAAACTCTACAGTAAAATAAATACAGCTCCTCTTTGCTGTAAAGTGTTATGTAATGTGAGCTTTACAGATGCAATCCCCTTGAAGAAACTTTTAAAACTGGCTTAAAGCATAAGCTACTCTGTAAAAACATACACAACCCACTTAAAGGTGCACTGAGTATTTTGTTTTACTTGATTTGACACCCAAATACAGGGATTAGACAATGAAATGCCTGGTTGAAGACAACAATCATTTATAAGTATGTTGCAGTACTTCCTTTTGCGGCCAATACAGCCTCACTTTGTCTTGGGAAGGACAGATACAAGTCCTGCACTGTGGCCACAGGGATTTTGAGCCATTCTTGCAGAATAGTAGCCAGGGGCCTCATGTATCAACGCTGCGTACGCACAAAAACTTTGCGTACGCCAGGTTTCACGCTCAGAATCGCTCACGTTTGGATTTACTAACAATGAACTGAACGTGGGAATGTGCGCAGCTTCACGGCAGCTTTCTGGCTGGCGTACGCACATTTTTTGTGCTTGTCTGTTTTATTTCCATTGGCGACTCCTAGAGGCAGTTGTGTTAAATTCCTCTCTGCAAAGTGTCTGAGCCTTGCAATGGCAGCTGTATGAGACGGGTTCATCTAGCAGGTATATAAGGTTTCCATACCATACAGTTGACCAGCTAAACATTAAAGCACAATTTGCAGCAGTCGCCTGTTTTCCCAATGTAATCTGAGCAATCTACCGCACGCACATTGCTATAAAGACACTATCTGAAGATGAATTTGCATGCGTGAATCAGAAACATTTCCATTCAATAAATGTGCAAATAAAATATGATGCACAAACTTATTGATGATTCCTACTTGTCTTTCTCGTGATAAATAGTGGGCAAAATCTGATATGTAGCGGGGAAAAAAAGAAGAATGAGTTCATCAGACGCTGGATTCGAGCCGAGTTTATGCTCGAACGTGTCAAAACATGATCACATGCGTCTTACGAGGTGCACCACTGAGACTGTTAAGAGTACTGCAACATTTTACAGATATAAACCACACTATTTCTTTTTTTTTTAATGCACTCAGTGCGATGTTCAGACCCAACTGTGTTAACCGCATCAGCTAAACTCTCCCACTCTATTTTTTTTTTGTTGTTGTTAATTCCGGAGAACAAACTTGCAAATAACACCGCTTTTCTCCGGTCTACCTCCGAAAGCAGCACCTCCAATTCACATTCTGTTCAAAGTTTCTCTTTTTGCTTGCTTTTGCCATTGCTTTTTCATTGGGTTTTGCCATTAGCATAGTCATTAGCATATTCATACGGGGGAGGAGGCAGGGAGGGGTTTTGTGCTCGTGCATGTTGCGCTCAGTTTTACGTTCATTCGGAGTTGCAAAAGAATATGCGTGAGATTCGGCGTACGCAGTGTTTCATACATCTGAATTTTTTTCTGCATACGCACATTTACAGCTTTGTGCGTACGCAATGTTTTAGTAAGATTTCCACGCAAGTCTTCAGACATGAGGCCCCAGGTCACTACATAATTCTGGTGGAGAAAAATGCTTCTTTGGGGCTTCTCCACACCGTAATTCTCTCGAATATGGGAAAGACAGTGAAGGTGGATTCATCAGAGAACAATACATGCTTCACATTGTCCACAGCCCAAGATTTTCATTGTTAGCATCATTGAAACTGAGGTTTACAATTGGCACGAGTGACCAAAGATTTGGCTATAGCAGCCTATTGTATGTATATTGACCCTGTGGTGCTACCGATGAACAGTTTTGGTGGAAGCAGAAGAATTGATGTCACATTTACTTCATATTAGCACATGGACATAACTTTTAGACAGCTTCTTGCATCTACAGTAACTCCTGCTGGATGTGGGTTGCCCTTCTTGTTGGTATGATGACATTACTCTGGATACTGTGGCTCTTGATACATCACAAAGACTTGCTGTCTTAGTCACAGATGCACCAGCGAGATGCACACAAACAATTTGTCCTTTTTTGAACTCTGAAATGTCAGAGTTGTGTGTAGTGCAATATTTATGCTAAACTGTGCTCTTACTCTGCCAATTGAAACTTCACGCTCTGCTCTTACTGGTGGAATGTGCAATCAATGGAGATTGGCTATCAGGCTGGTCAAATTGTGCCACCAAACTTCCAAAAACTAAACTGGCCAGTGTTTCAGTTTCATTGTGCAACCCCTGTATTTTTAAAATGCTGATGAGGAGATTATTTAGTCACACTTTACAATAAGGTTCATTAGTTGATGTTAAGTAATGCATTTACTAGCATGAAAAAAGAATGAACAACAAATTTACTACTGTATTTGTGCATGTTAGTTAACGTTAGTTAATGAAAATACAGTAGTTCATTGTTAGTTCATGTTAACTCATGGTGCATTAACTAATGTTAACAAGTATGGACTTGGATGTTAATAATGCATTAGTAAATGTTTAATTATGATTAATAAATGCTGTACATGTGTTGTTAATGATTAGTTCATGTTAGTAAATGCATTAACTAATGAACCTTATTGTAAAGTGTTACCGATTATTTTATTCTACAGAATGCAAATTATCGGCCATCACATCAACTTGACAATTACAAGTCCCTGTTTACAGCTGGTTTTAAAGATGTGCTTTCGTCAATCAGATCACAAGTATAGATGATGGAGACACATTTGGCGTCCACTTGTGATTAGATAAATGGAAATACACCTTAATATCAAGAGAAAACGTACCCTTTTTAGACACTGCGGTATGAATAAATACATAAATAAAAAGATCATGAATAATTTAAAGGGGTCATGAAGTAACTTTTTTAGTTTATTTTGTACTGTTCTCTAAGCTCTACTTCTACATTATAAAAAAAATATATCAGAAATATCCTAATTTATTATTACAAGTTTATTTTCTTACTTATTTGACCCACTTATGGAAACAAACCCTTTCAGTTGCTGTGGTGAAATGTAGACTTGGAAGTAAATGCTTACCTGCATGACAGTTTTGAATACAAAAGTTTTTTTTTTTTTTTTTTTTTTTGAGGGTGCAACTTTTGATTGCTTGTTTGACAGATAGAAGGATACAGAGGGGATTTGGGTTTCTAAACACATTAATATGAAACATATCACATAACAGACAAAAAATACAATATTGAATAAGTATTAAAAAACAATTACTGTTGGTTCTATGATCAGCACAGCACAGCGTTGTTTTTTTAGTTTCAATTAAGTTTACCTTTTTGTAAATTCAGTGTTGAGCTGTGACTAGTTTGTAAATTAGTTAAGAGTCAAACAAAGTGATCAAAGGACCAAATTCGCATAGTCCTCGCCGTGGCTGATGTCAATGTGCACCTCTCAAAAAATGTAAGTACATGTCACAACAACGCCACAAGCTCTGTGATTGGTCAGCTTGGTAGCGGTGATGAGTGTGGGCAGTGCTGAGAGCTGCGAGCCTGATGACATGAGTGTGGAGTACCATGATGAAAACTTGTGTTTTGTGTTTAACGTATGATAAAAAGTCGTTCCTGTTCCATGGAGTTTACTATTACGTAATATAGTGGCAGATTGGCTTCAGTATATTTTAGACAACTAAGACGTTTTTATGTTCTGAATCTTACCAGATGTTTTTTTTTTTTTTTTTTATAGAACAACAACCTATATTTTTAGATTTTTAAAACATTTAGATTTTTTCAGTTCATGACCCCTGTAATAATGATCAACGCTACAGTACATCCACACCACTAGGTGTCCCCCAAACCAATGTGTCATCTAACACTGAAACATAACCAGAAAGTTACTTAGTGCACTATTACTTAGCAAACTTATATCGAAACATTCTGTTTTCTGGTAAAACTGTGAAGCTCTCAGAAGTACTCTCTGAAAGCAGCCTAGCAATGTGCTGCCTGGGATTATTAACCTGTTCAAAGATAAGCTCCAATGTGAAGAGGCAAAACTTATACTGCAATTTAATAAAGTTTGAAATAGAATCAGCTCCACTATTCATCATGAGTTCCTCAGCAAACCTAACCTAAACTTCAATTCTCCACTCAAGTTGTTCCTTTTGTTCACTCTTACTAAGCTTTCCCTTTTCCAGGGTCGAATCGAACTTGCAGAAAGGACACAGCCCGTTGTGTCTTTATCTCTTGTATGTCTTTCTCAGGGGTTTGTGAAGTGTTGAATGAGGTTTTCGCTCTACACGATGGCACTGTTCGCAAGGCTCACCCTGGTCCTGTCCAGACGTCTTCCAGGCTTCAAAGCTCTTTCAGACTCCAGCCATCTGCTTTGTGAGCTGTGATGAATGTATCAGAACCACTGTGATTCCAGTGTTGAGCCTTGGGAGATGAGGTCGAGTACCATCTTGAATTCTCATTACTGAAGCCCAGGATACCGTCAGCTCTCTCTTGGGATAATATATTTTTAGGTATGGTGCTATTGGGAAAAGCTCATTCTGTTTGTTTCAAGTGGTCGATGGGATGAACGCATGGCCATTCTGACAGTCTTCTTCTACTGCAGGTGTGCATGTTTGTGTCTGTCTGCATATGTTTATCTGCAGATCCATCTTTCTAGAAAGGCCTTTGTGTTGTGACGCTCTCCTGGGAAGCAGAAAGCTGTGAAATCCTCATGCAGACATAGAATGAAGTCTCTTCGCTTGTCAGCCTTGGTCTTCCCGTGGGGCTGTCGTGCTCCGAGGATGAACCTGATATGTAGTGAGACCCAACATCATTTTTGGTTCAAGAATCAATATTTGAAGACAATTTCTTCACTAGTCCCTAGTGGCTGCGGCATGTCATTGCAGATCCGGCCTGTTGCCGGGAGAAGAAAAATGAGATGGGAATCACCAATAGGTCAGTAATATTTCAAAAAGGAC